CTCGTTTCAGTACGTGAATAGCGCAGTAGAACCAGACTTCAGCAACTCGTCTTGAGCTCCGGCATACTCGAGTATTCCTTGTAACTACATCGGTGCCGAAGTCCGAATAAATCGAGGATATTCAGAATGTTTGCGATGCAGAACGATTAAATAGAATTAAGCAAAGTGTCTCGAAAAAAGTATTTACATCTATCTTCATTAAAGCACTCTCACAAATTGGCTGGCTACGCGTATCGCGAATGAGTAACATTGTTGACTGCCTTCGATTTTTGTGTCACGTCACGGGATAAGATGCTAATTTATGTTGTCACGCGCCTCGTTAAGTTGCTGTAAGTAGTTTCGAATTACATCTCACGGTCAGATCTCGCTAATCCGACATTTTATATTGCTGCGGCATTTAATATCTCGATTCAATCGCTTGTTCGTGCGTATTAACGAATTAAAAATAGCCTCAAGCCTCAGTTTAATTTCCCTCGGATATCCTCCACAAATCGCGATACGCGATTTTAAGATACGCGATTGTCCGATTTAATAGAATTGAGGTCGACTGCTTCTGACATGGTAAACGCCAATGCAATCGAACGTTTCCAGGATTGAATTACCATGGACGCAGAAATACATATTGACGAACGGTGATTCCTATCTGAAAGTAATTGCTCGAAGCTCACGAACATGGAACGTACGTCCGTGCACATGTATGTACCTCTCTATTTACACGTGTTAAAGCAAAAGTCCCTTCAGTGTTACGACAAAAATGATTTAATGTAGCCTTTATGCCGCGTTTAATAAAACCAGATGTTATTTCAGCGTTTTTATACGATTAATTGGCGCGATAAAAAATAGAATGTCAATACAATATATTGGGAGGCGAGATTTTATACGAAATAAATGGATGATAGCTCTATATATATATATATAGAGCGAATCCGTAAAAACTCAGCTGTTATGCGATGCAACGAGATGATCGCGGCTTCCGTGAACCTCGTTGTTGAGCACCCATTTCGTCGGACGTTTCCCATTCGCGTTGTGATTTGTATTCCTTTGTACTGGTAAATCCAATGCCGATATATGCGATTGACATCGCAAAATATTCGGCGCATCCCGCACGCCGATAAAAGCCGATTCCAGACACCGCGCGTTATATGCTCACAAAATTTTTTTCCTAAGTCGCTTGAATAATAAAAAACATCGATGCGACGTTTCTACGGTAAAAGAAATTCGTCGTACAAAATAGCGAACACATTTACATTCTAAAATCTCTCTATGGAATTACAAAAATATGTTACAAATATAAAATATGTTACAAATCCTAAAATATAAATGAAAGATTATCCGCGTAAACTTTCACGATTTCGTTCAGATTTTATTCATGCGTTTTCATTATGATGGAAAGGAGAGAAAATATATTTTATCAGATAATACATATATATTTCCACTTTGAAATCAAAGCGGTAATCAAGAAAATCGAGTTTGGGATCGCATTTATATAATGTAATCAGTCAAAGGTGGATATCCATTATGTTGTTAATAAGCAGCAACGTGATAATCAATCGACAAAGATCAAGCAATCCCTAAGCGCTTTGATATGATAAATGATAAACTTCATATTCACGCGTAGCTTCTTTGTGTAAGGAATTCATGTGAAATATATATGATTATCTGGAACGAAACTGGAACATACATTATATGAAACATGTGTTATTCGCATCTGACTGCGAAACGCCCGTTCTGGCAGAGAATGCGAGAGAGTTCATAACAAGTACATAGTAATAAATCTTCTCATTTATTTTGCATTCTTTCATAAATGATAAATAAACCGACATAAATTGTATTTGGCAGTTAATGGATACTACAAAATTTAGGAACTCTCAAAGCGCGTATTTGGAATGAGGGATGAATGGAAACATTGATATTTTGATTTATCGGATATGCAAGTCTTTCAAGTTCGTTTTTGTAAAGCGCAAAAGTTTATTAAAAATGTCTTTGAAGGAAATAAATATGATGAAGAACAATAGTTAATATTAAATTTTACAATTTTTTTAAATTTATTAATGTTTCCGGCTTTACATAGTTTTTATGTAATGCAGAGTTTGCACATTATTCTGCTAACTCGATTCCTAAGAATGGCATGATCTGAAGCTGAAGCTGGATTACCATAAGGATCTGGTGAAAATATGAATAAATTTATGATCGCATACGGAGAATCTATGTAAAAGCAAGCCTTATCGTCTATGTGACCCGCATGGTGTATGGAAAATACATTATTTCTTGCGTAAGCTCGTGCCAGTAACGTCACGTGCAAGTTACTGCTTATTTATGTTATGATATATAAAACATTGCAGACATGTGTTTCTATTAGATTGTAAACTATCTTCATTATAAAAGAGATTAAATGTTACTTATCAAATTGAGTGAGAAATTACGAAATTTCTCTTCAATTTCTCATCAAAAAAGACATTATTATTATAATATAAATAAAATATTTGATATTTACACGTTAATCGATCCTTCAATTTAATAATAACTTTTAAATTATTCAACAGTATACAATAATTCAATAGTATATAACCGTGTTATATACATCCTGGGTAGGTTGGTTACGGTGGTTATTACGTCGGTCTCATGAGTTTGCGAATCTCCTTTAACGATGGTTTAACATACCGAGTTTGCCCTTCAGCAATGTGGTAGAGCTCCATAATGCGTGCGTTATTTTGGTAATTAAATGGAAAATAATCAGAGTCTCGGTGTTGCTACATAAATATATCGGGAAATTTAATTTCCATCCCGCTCACTGTGGTATTTGTGTTCCGCAGAATTATTTAATTTACGTGTCACGAAGGAACATTGTAAATTATTTAATTAAATAATACTACTTATATAAAATTGTGAAATTCATAAAATTTATAGGAGAATATTAAAATAATATCTAAAAAAATTTTGTTTGGCTAAAGCAAATTCAATTTTGTTAATTGATATCTTTTAATAAATATCGAGCAATATATTAAATTAGTGTGTTTGGTAAATAGGATCCAAATTGTTATCTAAATGAAAATGCCATTAATTTACTCTGATTATGCAATTATCCATTATCGCATGATATCAATATGCGTATCATGTTACATAGAACACAGTCTGACATACAGGAAGCTGTTTATGTCATCCGCATTTACGTAGATTATGTGCATTATGCTAATTCGACGATGCGATCCAATATGTTCTGACAACTGTACGGATATTCTGTATGTTAACTGTATCGATGCGGAATAGGAGAGAATTGACGAAAAGAGACAGAAGAGCGAACACACTTACCTGGAGTGAGTTCGGGTCGATCATGGTGCAGCTTTGTCTGTGTTGCTGTTGAAATTTTGGTTGGTACGGCTCGAGCATGCGGATCTTGCCCCATCGATTGAAAAACAGAGCGATGGCAGCCACCCACAGGACCAGAACAAGAATGACGATCAGGGCCTCCTCGGCTCGCACCACTACCGCACCTGTTCCTGCGATCCCTGATTAAATCCACTCCCGTTTCTTATTTTGTAATAAAGTATACAAAAACTGTGCAATACTGACGTACAAAGGAAGTTTACGTTGAGAGACTTAACTTTTGAAGAATGCACAGTATGAGCGCCCCCCTCTCCATTAATTTAGATTAATATTAAGATTGAAGTTAAAGCAAAGCTCACGATGTGACCTAATTTCTCATGTGCATCCCTTTGATCTATGAGCTAACTGCGCGAACGTGTCTGGTTAACTGTAGAAGAGAAAATAAACTCAGGAAATATCGCTCAGGGGTACAATTCGATGTTCAGTCGCACGTAAAACCTTTGTTGGCGGTCCTACAATGCCGTCTAACGATGTTTCATAGTACGTTCGCATGGCAAACGATCGAACTGATAAATTGATATCCGCCGTTCTACCCCCCCCCCCCGGTCGAACCTTCCGAAGAGAGAAACTCCACCTCGCGAGCTATCATGTAGAAAATCAGAAGAGAGGCTAGACAGATTCCATTATACAATGCTTGCATACTCGCTTCTGGCATCCGTGCTATACGTAGAATATATGGCTAAGGATGACATTCTATACATAATTTAAATCTACTTTAAATCTCTTCTCTCTGTGCTCTGAGTGAGCGGAATTTTACATGCATTTTCAAAAATTTACATATTTAAGGAATTAAAATTTAATTAAAGTAAGTTCAAAACCGCAACATATTATAAAGCTTCCATTATTCTTTTTTCTCGTTTTACTGGATTTCATTTCTCTTATATTTTAATTGCGAATTTCATCATAAGTACGCCAAATGAAGTGAAGTTTTATTTCTCTGTTTTCATCACCGAAGAAAAATTCCTCAGTCGATCTCTCTGTCAACAACTTTTCGAAAAATCTCTAAAGTGTCGTCAAGTTAACATGTTCGTTCACATCTCCATGTAAAACTAAAATGGATAGCTATGAAATGAATTGTATCAGATTAACATCCAATATCGGAAACTCGATTATTGGAAAATTTACTCGTTTTGCACATTTTGTATTAATCAATTATTTGCGCAACGCGTTACATTTATTCGTTATAGAACATTATTACTTCGTCGCGTTCGTAAAGTTTTCGTGGCTATACTGTAGAATATGAAATGATCTCGGAGTAACGTTTCGTTGATTGATGAAGATAAAATTGAATCGACGTGTGGAGTGAAAGTTCAAAAGGTACACACTGAAAAATGTAGTTATCCCACGGATCATTTCTTTGTCGCGAAACAGGAGTCGGATCAAAAATTCACGACAAATGTATATGTACATGTAATAAGAAAGTATACGAAGAATCCTAAACTACTCTCCAGAGAATGAAATTGAAACATCATTCGTGATCAATGTTTCAGAGAGATCTCTCATCAAACTTTTAATCTCATTTTTTGTCATGTTACATTTCGTCTCCACGTTGTTCGACATCTCTATAAAATTAAGACTCGTACGAAAACTTCATCAAGTTTAAAGAAAGTAATCATACGGAAAATATAAGTTCTCGCAGATGTTCTCTCAAAAATTCAAATAAATTTCAATTATTTTTCCAGTTATAAGAAATAAAGAAAAGAATTGAAAAAAGCATTATTCCATATTAACTTCTTTGCCAGTTACATTTCGTGTCTAAGAAATTAAAAAAGAATTGAAAAAAATCATATTATATATAAGTTTTTTTCATATTAAGTTCTTTAAAAAAAAGAAAAAAAAGAAAAGATTTTAAATTACGCTTTATCTTGCTATCAAGATTGGACAAGAAATATCATGAAACATAGTCAGAAATGTACTAGGATTACAATTTCCGCCGGTTTATATGAAGTTATTAGACTCACCGTCGGGAAAGGTAGAATTGAGTTCAGTGGTGGCTTCCAATTCCGATGACATGGAACCGACGATGACAGCGTCCGGTGCTTCCTCGAGCACCACCTCGATTTTTGTCACGTCACCTGTAAACGAATGTCCAGAAATTTTAACATATCTCATTAATCATTGCGCTGTTATAATTAAATATTAATTACAACAGTAATTAAAACTTTTTAATTAAATTTTTTATCATTTCTATCTGTTTCTCTTCCTCTCATGTATACGTAAACGTACCGCTTCCATCATCGTCGTGACGCTTGCTCGGCGTAATTGTAACATGCCGATGTTTTTTGGGTCGATCGCTTCCCTCCACAATGAGATGTTCTCTGCTATGACAGCCTTCAATTAAAAATGAAAAATTGTTAATAAAAGTATTAATTAAAATTCAACTATAAATCTATCTTCCATCTTATTTGAGCTTAAAATCCACTTTGAATTTGCAATTTATATCTAAACTTAAAGATATACTATTCTATTTATAATTTTACATAACATTATAATGTATAATTTTACATTTTTTGTAACACACAAAAAACATTTAAAGAATCAAAAATACACACATATAAAATATACTATATTAAAGGTACGTTTGGAATCATAAATAGAATTCTGTGTTGAAGTTTGATACGAATTATGGATCGTCTAAAATGAATTTAACTTCAGAATAACTTCTTTACTAACAGTCATATTTCTGAGAAAAATTCGTCTCTGAAGAATTGATACGTTGTAATAAAAAATTCTCTTAGATCTATGTATCTTAAAAGGTAGATTTACATGAAGAATGTCGGATTGCGTTTGTGAGGTAAAAATGAGAAACAGGACAGCATCTCGCAGAATGCAGAAAAAAAAAGAGAGAGAATCCCCAGTGGTGCTGAAAATGTGCCTCTTCGCTCGCCCTCATGCATTATTCAGAGACCACGCTCGGATACGTTTGATATATTGGTTACGTTTTTCCGGTTCGCGTTTTCATCGCGAGCGAAAAGAGTTTCGCCCCGTGACAGCATAACGGCGACATTCGTTTGCACTTTCGTATATCGCGTACACAATTTCGACATTTTGGTTTAGCGTCGGCGCTAAATCTTCTAACGGCGCGTCCCAGATAAAGCGATTTCAAAATTCGCTTAAGTTTCGCCCATTGCGTTTATCTTTCTACAGCATAAATCACACGTCCGCACGCTCGTTAAGCCCCGACCAACGAAACGACTGAAAAATCATCGATCGTACACGCTCGTCGACCCTGAAATTATCACGCCGGGCACGCGTAAGCTTCGCGAATATTTTTCAAGCGTGTATCGTTAATAGAAAAGTGGGATCTATCGACCGCTATACTGTAGCTCCATAAATAATGCACGCAGCTAATATAATATAATGCTCGCGTGCTATGAGACGACTATTAAGGGAATTGCCGTAAGAAAAAGGACTCACATACGGTCGTACAGATTACGGATATTAAAAGATGTTACAATTGCCGCAGTCACGTATCACTGAAATAGGTTCGTCGAAAGAGTCGAAGACTCTTGTTATGACTCTTTTTGATTTCACACCGGAAACCCCGCAACGGCGGACACTCACTGGCCAAGCGACAAATCCCGAAGTCTCATATTTCAGAACGGGGATTCGCTTACAGCTGAAAACTTCTGACGAACGGGATGCACAAGGGGTGAGAAAGTTGTGTCGACGACACATAAATGCAGCGGTGTGCGCGAGAAGAGCACGCGAGTAATTACGCCTGAGATTTTCCTTCTTTTTCCTCTCTCTCTTTCTCTCTGTCGGTTTGTCACATTTTATTCTCCCGTAGGCAACGGCGGCGAAAGAAGGAGAGATAATCGTAACGCTTAAACGAGATACGAGATTTAATGGAGCCGCAAAGTTGCGGCTCCGAGGTGTCTTTTTTGTCTTTTTTGACAAAAAATTCTACGACCTTGGAGTGATAAAGTACATGCGCAATAAAAAAAACTTGAGAGATCAATGCGCGCGCGTTTAATTATACATTCTTAGCCTTTATACTAGATTACGCGTAAAATTCTACGTACGGTTTCTGTTTTATGTTGTTATACGTTATATTCTTACAACGTGACGTTATTTCTAGACGGCAATTATGATGTAATTTTCATTCGCCTACTCGAATATTCTACTTCTACGGATTGAAAATAATCGCTGCTATTAGATAATTTTATTATACGCTGCTCGCAATTCCATTATATAAAGTCAATTGACGACATGAGTCGATTATATAACATGTAATAAGCAAGACCGGTTTACAAAAACGTATATAATGAAACGTATATAATGAAACGTATATAATGAAGATAATTCACATATTTCAGGACAAAGCTGCCTTTAGCTGCCTTTTGAACTACTTAATATGTATGTGTATTAAATAAATGCTATTATTATCCGGAAAAATGATAATATTTAATCATAAATTATGATTTTATTTTTACAGAATTAATTTGGTGTACCTCACATTAATTATCTTTTATAATATTACCTCAAGCTATTTTTATAATATTACCTCAAGCTTTTTTTGGAAAATATGTATGTATGCACATACGTATGCTCATTTCATTATTGTAGCTTTTATCAGCGCAAAGAAAACTATGTATACACTTGAATGTGCTCCAAGGAAATCCAGAATGGCAGAACTTGAAACATGAATTTTGTAAACTCAGAAGAATGCTGCTAGAGAGAGTTTGTTCTGTTGAACAACGTGAAAAACAAAACGTAATTTTATAAATCAAAAACAATAATCCATTTTTTTACTGACATTTAACAAGAAGAAGGTGCAACTTTTCTTGGAAAATCTTAGAGAAATATTTTAAGAAACGGTAATCAAAGCTGAAAATTGCTGACGTATCTAGAGGATTTTGCGATCTCTGGTCTATAAAGTCTATCATAAAAGAACGGAAATATTTTATGAGGCTTGTCTCTTACATCTATTACTTTTCAGGAGATAAAAATTTTTATGTATACAATAGTTTTATTTAAAAGTAGTAATAATTTGTAATAAATATTTGTATTTGATATATTGTAAAATGACATATAGATTAAAACTAATATATATTAAAATTTTTTCTTTTTTAGACAATTATCATTATTTCTTTTCATTTATAATTGTTTTTCAACATTTCGCCAAGATACTTTGAGAAATTGCTATTTTCCTCAGACGTTTTCTCACGTGTCACAAAAAAGCTCAAGAATGCGACAACAATTATTAGAAATGAAAAGATTGTATGCAATTGCAAACCTTAGTTATTGCATCATAACATTTGCAATAAAGCATTACATACAATAAGCTAACATATAAAATCGGTATTAAACTGTTTCTGTTCTTTAATCGACAGAAGCATTCTTTTCACAATCTCGAGAAACGGATGCTTTATTTCAAGGGACGGACATATAACTTTACTGAACAATAAGACTTGGAAAGAATTGTACGACGTTTTAATACAACATTATTGTCAATTTCTTTCTATCCATAAAAATCCACTAAGCGTAAAGTTGACCGTTACAAAAAAAAAATAATAAAAGTTATCAAGCTTCTCTGTAATGTCAAGTCGTATAGCACTCAAGTATATTTTTTCAAATTTTATTTAAAAGAGAAATGGATTTCTATATTTTGATTATTCCATATTTTTATAAAATTTATTATAAAAAAGTAAAATTAAAATTAAATTAAAGATAATTGAATATTGAATATCTTTCCATACATACATTAACTTCGCTGTTTCATAATCTTAACCCCTTAAATTAATTAAATTGTATTATTATAAGAGCTGTGTCCCCATTACATAATTCCATTCATGTTTAGCTATTGACAATAGACTTTGATATTACGGTCTTCGTCATTTAACAAAATGCAGTGCTTTAATGTGGAAATTTGTGAGAATAAATTGAGCGAAAGTTCCAACGAAGTAAGAACAAATATCGAGGTATAATAGGGTGCAATGCGCATTCCGGGGTTTAGCACAAAGTTTCTTAGCACACAGCATGCTTCGGTCACAAACACGATGAGCGCGTCTTGTGGTACAGTACAAACATTGTTCCAATCCATAGGGAACATACAGCTGTCCAGCAACTCATATAACTTCGCAGTGTATATAATAATAATAGAATTTTTAAGTAAATTGACTTGTCATAAGTCAGTCAAAACAAAAAATAAAATTGATTATATGACAACTTCCAAAAGGAATTAAAGGTCCTTAATCTTTTTAATATTCTTAAAAATAAAATATGATTTAATTTTATACTAATTGATTCTTTTATGTATTTCTGAATATTATATCTATGATAATATTTATTCTGGTTTTATTTATAACAAATGTAAGACGAATGAGAAACAACTGACGTCAAAATAGCGCGTTCTCGTATTCATGTTGTAATTAAACACATAATAACAGTTATTCCGATTAAATAACGCTGAAAAAGAATTAATTACATAGGAAACTAAAGCTGTAATTTCACGAACACCGAGCAAAACGGAATTACTCTGAGTTTTCTAACAAATGATGTAATACGATATAAAGTTGTTACTTTTCAAGCGTGACAAAGCGCATTCTAAAACACGATTTGCAAAACTATTTACTTTATTGTTAATAATGTGTTAAATAATAGTCATGAATTAATCTAGGTCTTCTATACATTTTGCCCTTGTATAATGAGAAAATGTGAAATAAAAAATAAAAAGAATATATATATAGAATAATATATTCGAGAATATACAAGATATAGGTGATATATATAGTTTTCAAGAGCATGTATTATTCGTGAAGAAAATGCTGTTCGACAAGAAGGAAAGCTTCAAAAGTGATATATACGACTGCATTTTCTCAAATATCTGTACAAAAATGCATTTTCCCGATGATACTTATTTATCAAGTCGGTCGCAGAAGATTTCTTTCCGAGACTCCTCAAATGCTTCTATAATTGCAAATCTCTGTTGCGATATTTTCACGTAATATGACAATTTATGTATGCCATTCGTCATATGAAATCCACATTGGATTGCATTGAATCGTGCGCCCTTATTCTTTGGAAACAATGCTCAGGGCAGAACATATTTACATTCAAGAAACAATGGATGTTATTTTATCGATTTAGATACTTTTAAAAATATTATTATCCGTATCTTATCCATTCTTTTTTTGTTTATCATTTGGTTGTCTTATTCGCTTTTCAATTTTACGTGTTATATCAAATAACCGATTAGTGATTGGAATACAAAAAAAAGAGCGTTCATTTATTCCCGCTTTCTATATTATCCAAAATAGCACGCTAAACAAAACTCTAAGAAAACTCTAGAATTTATCAATTTCAATAATTTATTTTCATAAACTATT